AAGGCTGTGTTTTGCTGATAGACTCTTGTTCATGTTGGTCGGCATGCCTGCCGTATCGTTGTTACTTCATATCTCGATAGAATCAGTGTGAAAGATAATAGATAGAGCTTGATTCTGTACTCCAGAGTGAACCGAAATTTCAACTTTCTCATATCGTCCCGTCAGCATCCTCAGCGGGAGTCGATCTGTGCCCCGATATGACGCAGGACGAGCGGATCTCATTAGGCTCACATCTCTTGTGGCTTTGGCTGTCATGTATGTGTCAACAATCCCGGAATATTTGCAAAGTTTTTTTGATATTCGGTTGGTCGCAAACATCCTTAATATGATTTTGTCAGTATGTGTCAAGTTTGTATTCTGTTACAGAAACTGAGAGCTATTATACCCCCAACGAGCACGAATCTGCAGTATTTTTTGCGACTATGAGATTCCTGATGACTGTGATCTAGCAAATTCAGAGTACAGTTTGAATACCACTGAAGGTGTTGACGATTAGTGTAGACGATATTTAAACAATGATATACCATATAGGAACGAGTACGGCTGTTTTGGGATGCCTGCTACAATAAATTTTGATGTAGACTCAAGCTATCTTTGATAGTAATTCATACATCTCTTGCAGCGTCACACAAAAATGGCTGATGGTCACATCAGCCCGAATCCTGAAATATTCTATCAGACGAGTACTGATAAGATGAGCTAATATCAGCTTGAAAATGCCATGGAGGTGGGAAATGTCAATACCAACATTGTCAATGCATCTGCTCTCTCCCCCCCCCACCAGATGGCAGAAAATCTTTGGCATTCTGTGAGTAGGGGTTGATTAACCCTATATTTGCCATATCTTCTTTTACTCTAGATTGATATGGCATTTAAAATAGGGCCCAGAGATGTCCTTTCACGCAAAAAAATTTCCTCTATACGATGCAATTTTCAATTTCTGTTTAGCTCTGTCTCCTTAGGTCCGACACTTCACCGCAATAGATCAAATACTTCCTTAATTCCTTATGAAGTTCTTGGTAGAAGGAAAAAATATAATATATCCTCGTTCTTCAGGGAAACATCTACATGCTAAGCTGCATTTCTTGTGAACAAGTTCGCCAATGTATGTAAATAAACTTTATGCTCGTAAAGCATGACGATTTAAGGGTAAAGTCAACCTGTTTTATGATCCAGATGAAGTCCTTTAGGCCAAAGTAGAAACTTAATTCGTCATATAGCTGATTAACTGTATGATTAGGTCACTCAAGTCTGCATATGTATCTCTGAAGCCGAACACGCTTCACTTTTATAATAAATGGGCTTAAAATGGTAATTTTTGTCATATACCCAGTGACTTTCCGCCCAAAAAAGTAGTTATGAGAATTTCTTAATTTCAATCAAGGCTTCTTTTTGAACTCTGTTGGATGCAGCTGTTGAAATGGCTTTGGAAATTGACACCCCTTCTAATGAAGTTTGTGACACATTCGCATAAAATTCCAAACCACAACTTACATAATACTGAAAATTATTCAATTTGGTCAATTAAATGTTTTATCCTGGTTTTTATTTTAAAATTAGTGATAGTCTCGAAAACTCTTCCGAGCCAAAATAAGTATCGTGTTCGAAACTGCAGTCCATCCTATGTGATATAGCAATCAGGAAGGCAGAGCTAAGGGAAATTCAGGCCCATCGTGAGATCTACTTATCTTGTTGAGGGAAAAGTAATCACACTATGATAGTATTGTTTAAGAAAGCCCTCTAATATGTTATTCAATATCGTCCGTAGCCGCGTGTCCCCACAAGAAGCAATACCCAGCTTGGAATCCGTTAAATGTGCTTATTTGACCTGATCGATGTAAAAACGGCAGTTTTGCCTGAATGTGAATACAATTTAGAAGCAAGACGAAACGAAATTTATTTTAATTATTTTAATTTGGGGAAATTTAAATATATAATGTTTTATCATCCTTTCTTTCAAGACTTAAGCGAAATCAAATATACAGTCTAGCCTGAATGAGAACTCTGATTAGGAAACAGGAATAAGTGTAATTCGCTAATATCTTTACATCTTAGAAAATTTAACATTTAGCACCTAAATCACCTCAAGATCCGGCGAAGTCAAAACTGCAGTATAACTTAAATGGAAAGCTAAGCTAGGCAAAATCAAAAATTATAAAAAATAAATTAAAAACATTTTTGTAATGATTAAAATAAAAAAAATTGTATATCCTTATTCTTATCACCTATAAACCCAGGTAAAGTCATATCTGCTGTAAAGCATGGATTGGACAAACTTTTGGGGTGCAATGCTAAGTTAAATTTATTGTAATTATTATTTTATTTTGGTACAATTCAGCCTTCAGTGCACACATCACCTCAAGACCGAGGTGAGGCTAAATCTGTAATCCGGCCTGGATGAAAGAGCCCTATTTGAGGCGAAGCTAAACAAAAATTCATTAGCATTCAGACTATCTACTCATTTCATAAAAGGAAACTCAAAAGGGCCGTCATCTATTCAACTAACAAGAGACACTTCTGAATCATATGTATACAAAGTCAGTGAAAATTACTTTCTTAGTAATGTTTGAGCAATATGGCAAATACATTTACGAGACGATAACTAGTGTTCCCAATGATGCACCGAATATGGAGAAAACGCTCAGTAGCTTCCAATGCTTCATAATCTTCCTTATGATCAGCATAAAGGTTAAATTAGTCGTTGTGTGATTATACACTATTCGAAAGGAATGCACATATTTGGCTCTTGATTGTTTCTCTGTTTCAAGCATGACATCGGTGAGTAAGTGAGGATTTAGCATATCTAATGGTGATTCAGCAGATAATACTTGCAAAAGAGATAGAGGTGCATTAGGGTGACTGGAGAGATTGTAAAGATAGTAAGCGAATGCAATAAAGTTGTATGTGGTAAATTGGAAGCTAGTTGAAACTCGCTGCCCATTCAAGGCCTTAACATGGTTAATCTTATGGTTAAACTCTGCTCTTTAAGCAATATAACATCCCCAAAATTGCTTACCTAGCTTCTAGTGCCTCAAGCTTATCATCAAATACTTGCCACTTACCGCACTCCCCTCTTCCTTCTCTCGGTGACTCCTTTCGACGCTCGTCTACCTAATTTTCCCCTTCCCATCCTTGGTTTATTCCTACATTGCATCGTTGTATTCTTTCTAAAGTTCTACTTCACCTTCTAGATATCCGTTATTCCTTTTTACTTTTATACCTTCCTTTCAACCCCCAATAGCTTCTTACTTGCACAGTTTTTCATTTCTTTATTTCTAGTCCTTCTCCCGTATTACCTTATCATGTTACTCCTTCGGACTCCGTAAATTTCGTTTCTTCCATCTTATCATCTCTGATAGTTCTTTTTCTCACTTCTATGCTTTTCAGTCTTTTAACCCCATTCTGATTTTGTTTTTTTCATCTTTAATTCTCTATCTTTATTCTTTTTCCCATCTTCTTTCCCCCTTCAAACCCGCCCTTCTTTACTTCATACCCTCCCTACTTTCATTTCTAATTTCTGGTCTATTCACTTTAACATTTACCGTCTTTCTTATGTTTTATTTATTTATTCTTAACTTCAAATCGTAGTTAAGCCACAATCCGATTGCCAAAACATGCAACAAGGTCCTGACTCAACTGTAATTTATTTAACGCTTAGTCACACACGATGTTCAGACATAGGCAAGCCCACATATGCATTCATGCATGCACCAGAATTGTTTCGTTTCCTAACTAGAAGCCCATCGTTTAAATCCTATCTTACACACCCTCCTTTACCCTTCCTGTTATTCCTCTTCTTCTACATAATCCCTCATGAAATTACAGCTGTTCCCATACATTTGTATATGAGTTTAGTTTGCCGCTTCACAGGTTGCCTCCTGGCCCCACCAAAATAGCCCCGGGCAGTCTGCCCTTCTGGAGTGTTGTGTCCCGCATGTCACACTTATCTCAGCTCAGTAAATCTGTGATCGCAGCATGAAATCAAGTTGTTCAAGCAACTAAATCTCTGACACGTAAAATAGAATCCTCCGACAAACTGCCTATTGCCTCATTGAAGTAAAAGTTGATCTTGTGCTGCCTCGAGAAATCAGGAGTTTCTGATGCAAGACGATGCTTGACTGCAGACAGACAGAATAGAACAGACAGACACAAGCAGAACCCCATGTTTAGATAAAGTAGAGGAATAATTTAATTCCAGGCCTGCTCATCTATGCTTGCAAAAGGACTAGTCGACAACATGTGAACAAGGTCACGAAGACTTATGTCTCTGTGGGAACGTTAGATGAATATCAAAGTGTCGCCTCTTCTCTTCTATGATACCCCATCGCCTTCCTCCTTCTACTCTTCTCTCCTTCATCTGCTTTGTCCGAGACAGCCTTCCATCGAAATTCGCTTCCCTCTTCTCCCATGTCCCCCTATTCTTTACTACTTGCACAAGGCGAATTACTTTTGAGCCAAAGCGCAACGCCATCAGAGACACCGACTGGAAGTTTTCCGCCCGTTTGGGTCTTGTGTGAGTCAACAGGGCCTTCCTATGCTACGTCATTATGCCGAGCTGAGAGTAGGAGAGATGCGTGATGTAAACACTGTCTGGGCGCCTGCAGCCTGGCGGACAGTCGTCAGGCCGCCGACTCATAATTTTCTCCAAAGAGCAGAGGCTACATTTGATTTGGAGGCTGGCCTGAACACATGGAGGCACCCGATGTGGCGATGGGACAAAGGCAGACATGATGGACAGTAGATATATGTGGTGGGATGGGGGGCTGTGAGAAGGGGTGGGGAAGAGGAAGAGTAACATGTGAATCGTGAAATATGAGAAGGGCAAATAGGCATTTGGGTGTCTTCCTAATTGAGGAGCAGATGGTGGATGGACGAGTGGAGAAAGATGGACTTATTGAGGGGTGATTTGTTTGACACAAGCAGGCGTTTATTAAGAGCATACAGTTGGA